ATTCGAATTGAGTTCCCTTTAAAACAAAGTAGCGTTTATAACATAGTAATACATAGCAAACATTAAAACATACAAATGTTAATAACATACAGAATACGAAGGTTTGTCGTATAATTAAATGCTCCATCCGACACGTATGCGATTTGATTATGATCCAGCTTAAGTTTCTCAAGCTTTGTGAGAGATTCGAACGAACCTCGTTCTATAGAAGTCAATTCATTATGTGACAAGTCTCTGGAAATAGATGAGTATCCAAAAGTTAATGAAAGAAAAGAGTAAATATTTATAATCATTCGTATCACATCATTTAATTGTAGTATTTGCAACAAAGAGACAATAATTTATTTCATGCAATTATGAAAACATTACTAACAGCTCTACTATCTTTTGGCTCATTTCCCATGCTTGAGGTTCAATCATTGAGATTTGATTGTGTGATAAAGTTAATTTTTTCAAATTCTCTAATCCGAACAAGCCTCCCTTCTTTATAGTAGTCAATGTATTAAAGTCGAGATGTAGTAATTCTAAATCTTTAAGCGGCCAGAAAGCTCCATCATCCAACTTATTAATTTTGTTTCTTTTTAGATATAATTCCTTCAGGCTCAATAAACTTTTCAGGCTTAATCCATGTATTTGTTGTAGATTATTTCTATTCACTTCCCTGTAATATTATCACAGACATTACAGATAATTGAAGATACTGTTTACTTACTATATTTCATATGTATAAATATCATAAAGATATATAATATATAAATATTATAAAGAGATTTTAAAAATATAGAAATTCTTACAATATTCGCAATTTTCCTAGATTTATGAAAATATCTTTCAGCTGTGTCAAATTGTTCTTGTTCAAGCGAAGTTCCTCCAATGAAGTAAGATTATCCAAACTTCCATTTTCGATAATTCTGATGTGATTTGCATTTAAATTCCTTCAAATTGAAAAAATATTAGACATGGAATTAACATATAATGTAATAAATTTGTAAGATTAAAATACATACAAATGCGTAAGTCGATTAGGAGCGAGAAAAGAACCCCTTTGAAGGACACTTATTTTATTCCCACTGAGATCCAGATATTGAAGCTGTTGTAGATTAAATAACGCTGTCCCATTTATACTATTAATTAAGTTGTGGGCTCTATAAAAAAATTACAATATTGATAATTATTGGTCCACTACATAAGTTCTATTAACGATTTAATAATAACTGCTTATGAAATTATATTAAAAAATCTTTTCCAATTTATACATGCCGAGTACTTACAGTGTAAGATGAGTAATATTCTTAACAAATACAAGGTCTGGCACTTGTGTTAAGCGATTTTTATTCACTCTGAGTTCCCGTAATTGTGTTACATCTGACAAGGCAATAGTAAAATTATCTCCGAGGAAGTTAGCACTTACATCTCTGAAATTAGACAAATATGTATATAAACATTTTTGTCTTTAAATATTAAATGTTGAGAAACGGATGTTATAATGCTTACAATTTTTTGAGTTCCGTTAAATGAAGCAATGAATCAAATTCCAAATTAGGAATATTATTACCCTTTAATTCTCTGAAAAATAAGAAACATAATATAAATAAATATATATGTATATATATATACAAGGTGTCCCGACTTTTTTTGCCAATCACTTTTGTGTAGATAGAGCGGATTAAACTGAGTCGAAAAGTCACTGATAATTTTTTCAGAATTTTTTATCAACTTTTTAGTACTGCATTTTCTTATTGACAATTATTTTTACTAACATGAGAAAATATGGTATTAAAAAATTCTGAAAAAATTCTCAGAACTTTATGAGAAGAAACTAAACAATTTTTATCTCTTGCTGTTTTTCTGTAAAGTTGATAGTATTTGAGTAAAAAATTATTGAAAACCACACAATATTCAGCGATGTTTAGTAATTAATATCTTGTCAACTATTGCGAAAATTTCAAAATGGTAGAGGACTTTTCGACTCAGTTTAATCCGCTCTATCTACACAAAAGTGATTGGCAAAAGAGGTCGGGACACCCTGTATATACATATACGCATGCATATGTATATACTTAAAGTACAAAGATGTATAAAAAAATTTATATAATAAGTGTTAACATGGAGTCCAATAGGTGAAAGAAGTTCATATAAGTTTATGTCTAAAAATTCTTTATTGAATTGTAAACGTTTAAAAATTCACAAGCAGAATTCTAATAATCCGTAGACGGAGCTGTTAACTCAGAAAAAAATGACGCTCAGTTATTGATTATATATCTTGACTTTCAACTGTCTCTAAACAGTATCTTTATGAGAAACTGACACAAATAGAGAACTAACTTTGAGTATATGATATTCAGTTCGACATTGAGTTCATTCTTTTAAAAGGAAAAAGTTTCGAACTCTTGCAACTATCGTAATAATTTATAAAATCCGTTTATACGAATCAAGATATATAATCAATAACTGAAAGTCATTTATTTCTGAGTCAGACTATGGCACACAAAAAATGTAAAGTAGTAAAACATAAACAGTAAGCTGAGTAGGCAAATCGGCCAGTCACAAGAGATGTAAGATAATAACATAAGTAACAGCAAAATCAAGATGTTGATATACTTACTTCTGACATCTTACTGTTTAAATTTTTGTGTCTTAATTTTGTCTAACAAATTATAAAAATAATTCTGTTTATAAATATTTGCAAATTAATGATTCTTTAATGAAGGATTTTCGAATTTAAATTCGTATGAACTTTTTTAATCTACTTAATCTCATTAACACCCAGTATAAATTTCGTTTCAATTTTAACGAACACCCTGTATATTATCTTAAAATGATATGAAATAATAGGTCTCTAGATTTCTTATAAGATATTATATAATAATATTTACGAACATTAATGTATAGTTTGATAAACTTAATTGCAGGCTATTTCAACATTATATAATGATACTGATAAATTATGTGCAACATAAATATAGATATATAAAAATTATTTCATAATTATTTCTGTACAAAGAATATATTCTGCTTAAGACCTTTCTTCTCATTAGACACTGCACCTTTCAGAGAAAGCAGAAATGTTGTAGTTATATAATTATATATCTTAATACCTTAAAAAGCATAGACATGAATTCTTAGATATGAATTCTTCTTTCCTTAGATCTTACTATCCTTGATTCGGAGCATTGAAGGACTTAACAGTCAGTCACCATCACACATAGCACCCTATATGGCTATAGAAACCTGGCCATGTATTTCTATAGAGCCAGTTTCATCAATCTGACCATTTAGTAAAGGGACAAGCAACCCACATGCAGCCATAACAACCAATATTACTCCCTCTCGATTTGACTCCCAAACAATATAGTATAATAACAGTTATCATCCAATAAATAATAAATTGCTGCATAATAGCCATTGCTTGTGAACTTTTATTTGAGACACAAACACATGTATTGTTAACCGACATCTCTATATAAATTATCATATTTTGTCATGAAATTACAACTTTATTAGAAATTGTTAAAATAAAAATGTTTTAAAAATTATTTTAAAATAAAAATTACATTCATACTTTAGTTTCCTTTTTAATATTGTTTCAATAATTCAATAATTAAATTAATTTTTCATTAGTATATGTATATTGTTATTTAACAAATTACAGGTAAGACAACAAACAGATTTCTTTAAACATTAAATTATCATTTTATATTATAATATTTATCATTAAATATTATTTCCCAATCCTTCAACTATCTTAAAAGCACAAAAATAAATTATAAAAATCACTGATAGCCATCGTAAAGTACGTGTATCAGTGATTATTTTATTTTTGTTATAATTCTTCTATCTTATCTTGTGTTAACTCATATAACACAAGTCAGATCTTATAATCAGTAAGGTCCTCTAATTCTTTCAACATGTATAACAAAGCATTATACATCTTCATCCTGAAAACGATGAATGGAAGGTACTCCGCGTACAAGATTCATCCCCTGTAAAACCTGACTGACATCGCAGGAGAAATCTAGACGCCGTTTGTCATATACAAAGCCAAAGTCGCTATTCTATCAACACCATCCTGCCACCGGCAGGTCACAGCGTTTACTCACAGGATCTCAGTCCACGGTGGCAGTCCGCTGGGCGCCTGAATCAGCTGCAGCTCATTACAGGCTACCAGGTTGCCGAGGCAAGAGCACTCGACTGGGCAGCGGTCCGTATTGTCGTTCGGCTTGGCGTAAATCGACGATACGCTCAGCGCGAGCCAACATGCGACCAGCAGGAACACGACGTTCCATTTCTGCTCGAGTCGTCGCGCGAGGCGATGGTGCTTCTCCGAACACCACGACATCGCGCACAATACACACGCACACGTACACGCACGCACACCACCGTGTATCCAGAGTCCGACTCTAGACGGTTGTGCGACAATGCTCACCGCTGCCGCGCCGCATCATCGCCGTGGCATCGTAGGACGAATTCGGCGAGCTCAGCGACCGAGCGAGTTACCATAACACCACCGAGGAGCTGATGTATCCGCGTCGTTGTCAATTCAAAACAAACTCCTCGGCTTCACCCTCAGAAACGTTGTGACCTACGCACCATGATGACGCCTACGGAGTACGGAACGACCAGAAACGACTCCAATTGCACGCGCTAACGCCGCGCCATCTCGTGAATCTCCTGAAATGGTGGCCGACGCGATCTTTACGGCTTCCACACGTAAAACGAGGATACTTGTCACGTAAAAAAAATACACGGTGTAGCCAATCAATTTACTGTTCTTACGGAAAACGGGTAAGTTGATTCCCCGAGATTTCGGAACCGTGAAAATCGACAAAATATAGGATCTCGAAAATCGACAAAATATAAGGAGAATATATTATAGTTGAGACATTATTGAAAATGTTTCAAGAATTCCTTTAATTTTCGAGAATTGCAATTCGGATTTCGCACTGCGGAAATATAAATTCTTCAAAGTCAACGAAATATACTTGACACTTGTCTTGTGCTCCACTAGCTTTACTCCATTCTATGATCGGAGCCTAAGGAAATGTAGCGTTGAAAACAGGTTGTATTGGTCTTCGAGCTGTTTCTTCGGTTTCTTCTTATTGTGCAATTTAATCTATGTCAGTGCCATAACCGGTACCCGGTTCTGTGCATTGAATATATCGACGTCGAGGAACTGGAGAAGTTCAAGGCAGCGAAACGTTTCAAGCGTAGCTTGTCTCTGCATTAATTGCCAGATAATACGTACATGGTATATGCTTATTGCATATCTTACTCCGTAATATCCGAAATCTTCCCCGAAAGACGGTTGAAATGGAGGATAAGCTGTTGCAGATGCTCCAAGATGTTGGGTGAGTAGTTGGATTACTTCACGAAGGATTTATCTGGAGTTGAAAAGAATTGAAGACTTATATACTAATATTTAGGTTAAATCATTTTTATTACTATAATGTAGTCGCACCTTTTATATTTTTTTACCAAAAGAATGAGTTTTCAATGATGTTACAGATACACTGGGCCAATGCTTGATGCCAATAAGTTGTCGAACGCATTAAAACTTGGCGCAAAATCACCGGATTATACTAGTCTCGTAAGCTGGTTTGCCGAGCAACTGGCGACATTTATAGATGTAGATGAAACCGTTCATGCTACAACAAGCTCGGACGACGCTAGTTCCTTTCTCTTAGAGTTAAGCTTCTTTCTTAAAGAAATAGGATGTATAAATGAGAAACTGATGACTGGACATATGAATCAAAGACTAGCTAATGAATCTGAAAGAGCTATTCTAATAGAATTTTTAACAACAGAGCTTATGGCTTGTAAATTATTGGAGGTGAAATGTCCTAAAGAAGAAAAGCAAATAGAAGTCACCATTGTAAGTAGTTTTAAATGTAATATTTTAATTGTGTTTTTTTATATTGACATTGCAAAAGATTTTAATAAAATATATTGATTTAATGATATACTTTATGTTTTGTACAGGATGAAAGTGATACTGCTAGAACTTTGAAAAATATGCTAGTTGTACTGAAGTTTCAAAAGCCACCAGACAATATTTCGCCTGACTTAATGTTTTCACGGCTAGAAACTAAATTATCAGAAATTCTAAAGACTGTACCACCTAATCATCTAGATAAACCACTTATAGATGTCGAGCTGTCTGCTAAACAGTGGGAGAAACTAGGTCAGCTACAAGAAGAAATGCACAAGGAATATATAGTTCGACGTGAGATGTTGCTCAAACGTCTTGACGTTACAGTTCAATCATTTTTGGTAAAAACAAATGCTTTAAAAATACTTGTTTATGCACACAGACCAATATATTTGATGATCACTTCATTAAAAATTATGCAATTTTACTTATAGTGGTCTGATAGAATAAAGTCACAGGAGACTGAAGTAAACAATAGATACGATGAGAGAAGAAAGACTCTGAAAAATGAACCAAAAGTGACACTGGCCGATTTACTAGCAGCTAGAGACGATCTAGCAATAATTGAGAAAACAAGTAACGCGAGTGTTCGCAAGAACACACGAAGTAAAATCAACAGCGTTATTATTGGAGCAGTTCCGGACAGAGGTGGTAGACCATACGAACAAGAGCCACCTCCACCAGAGATGCCACCATGGCAGAAGGATAGAGTTCAAGGACCACCGTCATTCCAGTAAGTTAATAAAATAATATATTTTCTAAAATTTTTAGAGTGTATCTCACTCTGAAGAGTAAAATCTCTCATTCTTAAAGATTCAAAATTGAGCCATTTTTTTCAAGATTGGCTCAATTTTCACTTCTTAGAGTGAGGTTTAGCTCCAAAAAAATTAGAGAATAAAAGGACTGGAATTATAATCAAGAGAGGTAATGAAATGATAGTATATGTGCATATATGTATATATTTCTTTTTTTTTTTTTCAGGGGCGGAAGAGGAGGAAGTGGGGGTGGACGCGGTGGCGGTGGTGGAGACAGAGGACGCGGAGGTGGAGATAGAGGACGCGGAGGTGGTAGAGGTGGTGGAGGCGGTAGAGGTGGAGGCGAAGGAGGTGGCGGTGGTGGTGGTGGTGGTGGCGGCTATCGAGATCATAAAGACGCTAGTAGTAACTTTGGCCAGAACTTGAATTATCAGCAGCAATCTCAATATTCTGGACATGGACATAGAGAATGTTATCCGGATCATAGAGATGGAGGAGGATATCAGAGAGGCGGTGGTAGCGGTGGTGGAGGTGGATCTTATCGTGGAGATTCCGGCACGAGCTACAATCAAAGTTACGGTCAGAATCAGAATTATCAACAGCCGCAATATTCCGGTCAGAGAGACTCGTATGGAGGTGACAATCGAGGCGGTGGGAACTACTATCAGGATAGAAGGGAAAGCGGAGGAGGAAGGGGAGGAGGCAGAGTTCAAGGTGGATGGAATCAAGGTGCCAATAATTCTGGTTCGAATAGTTATCAACGTGGCGGCTACAGTAGGGGCAGAGATAAATACTGAAGATGTCACTTTGCTTATATTTTTAATAACGATAGCAGAAGTTTCTCACGAAAAGATAAAGTTATGATATTAAAATAATTATAGTAATTATGTTCATCACTTACGCTTATATTATACTCACGCACATAAATTTGGTCTCAAAATAATGTTTGAGTTCAGAATATTTATAATAATGTTGTTGAATCATGTTATTTTTAAATTTCAGCTAGCTAACTCAAAATTATAATATTGCACATTAAGATAGAATTATTATATTATTTATTTCTTTCTCTTTATATAGAACGCTACTTTTGTATTGACAGTTTTTAATTTCACCATTCGATTTAGACATATGTAAATATAATTACTGTTTCCTAGATCGAAAGTACAGTAACTATGTAAATACATACTATAGTTGTTTGTTTATCAAAAGTAGCGGATTGAAATTAATTTATAACGCGAAGTATGAAGACTGTAAATTAAATCATTTGAATTTTGTATTGAATCGCACATCATATGTATCAAAATGTATGAAATAAATAATATTAGATGTGTATGTACTTGCAAGCATAATACATACAAAATTTCCAATATACGAAAAATATTTCTGTACATGAATTATACATAATAATATCCTTTTTAATATTCCTTTTAATATTTCTTTATTTCTTAAACAAATTACATAAATTTAATGAAAAGTAATTTTGTATCCTCATACTTGAAAACATAGTTACATTCGTCCCAGTAATTTTTGAAATCTTACCTTCAAAATCTGGTAACTTTAAAAATACCGTTTGAAGAGATGATTCTTTCACGATGGCGCCAAGTCATAGGGTCTGTTCTTTAACCTAAAATTCTTGCACGGTTTACCTTTTCTCTTTCTCTCCAACGTGGAGAGAAAAGGAAGAAAGATGAACTGTGCAAAAAGTTCTGCTAAAAAGAACAGGCTTATGATAATATAGCGTAATATTATTGGTTAGTTTGTATACATACAGAATAAAGGTTCATCAAAACTTTTCGGAGTTGAACAATTATTACTTCGCATAGTATTAAATTAACATGGTCACACGATTGCACATTAATGAAAAAGATTTAGTTGATCGAGACGAGTCCGAGTTACATTTTATGCCATGTAAAATTCAAGGAGACGAAGCTGCGAATGTTTCCTCCTTTTTCAAGCCTTACATTCGTAAGCTAGATGAAGAATGTGAGTGAATGAAAGTTGAAAAGAGAATTTCCTCAGTATCGCATACATATAATTGTACAATGTTAAAAACAAATAAATCTATAGAACTAGACGTAAAATTTTATTACATTTTTTTTATGTGTCATTCTGTGTTGAACTTTCATAATTTACATGACACGTTAAATGAATGTAATAATTGAAGTAACAAACGAGAATCAAAAGAGAATTTAAGGTTTATGATATTAATTTATCTTTTGATTATTTAAAGATTATGATTGTTCCTTTCGTGGCTACCCGCTTCAAGGGAAAAAAATAACTGTACCTGCTGGATTCAGAGGCATGATGTTTATGGAGAATAAAAAGACAGAAATAGAAAATAAGGACAGGAATTTGTATTGCACAGGAACTTTTTCACAGTTAATGTATTGGAATTATGATAAAATACCATCTAAGAATGATGCTTTTGTGGCAGCATTAGATTGGGTCGACATAGCTAAAGTGGTTAGTTTTTTTTTACATTTGTAAGTTATAACATGTTAGTTGTTACCAATGTATTGTTCTAATAAATTTTTCTAATAATTTTTAGTTACACTCACCAGAAACATAGATGGTACCAGAAGCAGATTATTTTAATAAGATATAAAATAAATATATGTTCTTGTCGGATGTTACATTTTTATACTTTGATAGGAAAACAAAATAATAAAAGCACGTTTTGTATAACAGATTTATTTTTACGGCATCATACTTGAGTGGTTATGCCACAAATAATGACCTGCATATATTCTATGATTAAGATGTGTAAAGAAATAGTGACAGATAGTGGTAGTATTGTTATAGCCTAATTAGCAATGACATTCGAAGAATTTCCTATTTAGATATTTGTGGACTTCATTGTTTCGTTTAATGTAATAATACAATTATATAAATGCATTCTGCTACCTTTTCTTAAGTGTGTAAATCTGTTTTATGGAAGATTATATATATATATATATTTTATATGGCTTCATATTTAATTTTATATTAAATGCATTTATATAGTGTCGTCAAAATAGCTTATGACATCTATAATAAGTTAAGGATGTATCTGAGCATCCATACATGCTATCTTAGTTATACAAATGTGAGATTTACAAAATACATTTTTCAGTACGCAATATGTGCATTGAATTATTTAGGCCAAAGAATCTGATCGATTTGCGATAGCGTGTATTGTGTGCACGATGCTTACGTAATCGATATTTAAACATACGATAAAATGAAAAACATTTTCATCTTGTGTGTTATGTAGAGTTAGTGATAATGATTGAAAGTATCTTACATTCGTTTACAATCTCACGTTAATAGATATACGAAATAAATAATTTATTACAGTCTCAATTTGAATTATCTTTGGCGTTATCTATACTGAGGTAAGAGACTTCCACAATTAAACAAAAAATTCTAGATGTATATATATGGAATTATAAAAATTCTTACACGTTCGTTCGTTTCCTATATCCTAAATTATTAAAGCCTCGATAACGAAATAATAAATATAATAAAATATTTCTGACTTTCCTCGACGCTTTACTATAGACATCACTAGTAAAATAACTTTTCATAGGTTCTAGAGGACCTATTTACAGTAACATTACAGATTTCTAAGGAACTACGCTAGAAAATAGGTACGCTGCATGTCACTTTGTTTCATTCATGCAAAAGCTCTCTAATGTTTACTCGTAAAGTTGAGGAAGTACGTTGTCCTATAGAGGGACGTTAGTCTTGTCATTTTTCATATATTTAGCTAAAAAAACATACACTTTATATAATACTTCTTACATATATATATAAATCAGACGGGTGAGTACCTGCCTGTTCGATCTTAAAATCTGTAAGGCCAGGAAAGTGAAGCCTTAGGCGAACTAGGAAGGTTCCCGCCCAAATGGCAAATATAGGCAAATTCGATCTGCCCGGTTTTGTCTATTTCCACCAATGTAGATTAATTTTAATCTTGGTTCAACTTACTCTTTATCTTTTTCTAGTTCTAAAAATGAGGAAAAGATGAAGAGTAAGTTGAACCAAGATTAAAGTTCATCTATGTTAGTGAAAACGGATATTAATGTCTTTAAGCTAGACATATATATGATCACATTAGCTATAATATATTATATAGCTGCAATATATTATTTCCGAAGAAGATTATATTTTAAAGTAGATTTTCTTTTTAATATTACGTGTGTGAGGTTCTATACTTGTTTACGATTTATGGATATCGTGAAATTATACAGAATTAATAAATATTTAAATAATTCACGATTTTTCTTACTATTGCACAATACTTGTAGAATACCATTTTTTCTCTCTTTTTTTCTTTTGTACCCTGATTTCAGATGTGCATTTTCATACAAATAAGATTGAATTTCCTAAATTATGAGATATGTCCGTTTGAAAGTTCTCGAAATTGATCTAAAGACTAACGAAAACTAACGTTTGTGGCAGTGATTGCGACTGTAATACAAATCTTGAAAAACATCAGTTTATATAAAATGCAAGACATTGCAATAGGCAGTATGTAAGTAAATTACGTATTAATCTTTTTGGTATTGTCCGCGCTCATTGTTGTCTGTATAACTTTTATCCCAATTCGGTAGAATATCAAAAAACTGTTATATAAGTGCCACTCGTGAATAATATGAAGACAAAGTCGACAGTCTTACGTTTTATAAGTAAAACCTATAAAAAGTAAAACCTATAAAAATCTCAAATAAAACAACGCATTCGAACCGATCGGTCTGCGTGATTATACTAAAAATGTTTTTACTAAATTTGTACATTCATAAGAATAAAGAAATCAAATTCCATACTATTTATACATGTTGAAACGTGCCTAACTCATTAACCTGTTCCTGGTGAAACTTGTTCTGATCCTGTTGTTGCTTGATGAAAGCGCTGAGTCTGTTCAATAAGAATTGTTTATCATGACCTTCCAATACCAATTGGTTTTTCAATACTGTCACCATGTGCTTGTTTGCCAACCACATCACGTAATAGTAATAGAGAAGCAAACAGAGAATGACAAACGCCGGTATGCCGAAGGCAGCCGTACCTAAAAAGGATAGAATTGACTGCAGCCAGTTAGGGAACTGCTCAAATGTCGTGCTCAAGAATGACCAGACGGTCTTTGATTCTCGGAACGGCCCGCACGATTTCGATGGCATGATCTTCGCGATGGAATAGCCAACTGGTATCATCGCCAGGATAAAGGAGATCAACAGATTGAACATGAACAGGCAATTTGACCTACTGGCACGGTAAATTTTATTCGATGGTGTACTGTTCACTAGACAAGTAAATTTCTTGATGTAAAACAGCAAGAATGTTCCGATGACGGCGACCATGGGTAGTAACGGAGCAAAGAAGCAGCCGAGCCAGCAGACCGTTTGCGAATAGAAGATATCCAGTACGTGCTTGGGCAAGTCAAATTCCTGCTCGCCGACGAAGCGCAAAACCTTGTTCTCAGTATGACGTGCAATCAGCGACCGTGGAAAATTGATGAAGAACGTCATGAAGAATTGAATGAAAATGTCAGTGCTATAAAGCTTGATGAATTGCTGTCCCACAAACGTTTCCCAGCATAGTGGCTGTTCGGTTTTTTTATTGGAGCATTCGTCGCCCGGAATTTTGTCCCCGACAAGCGCATGCAGCGACGTTAACAGAACTGTGAGGGAAGCGAATCTAAAGAACATGGTTCTATACAGCGTCACTTCAACGACGTACGATGGTTTATAATGCTCCAGAGCGACCAAATAGCGAAAGAGAAATGGCACCGCTACGTTAAGTACGACGATACATATATATGGAAGAAATTCGAAGAACAAATTCAATATTTCGTGATCCTTTGCCAAATCCGACATCTGAGTGAATGAAAAGTCGATTATGTAATAAACGAACAAGCCGCAGCCGCCCAATACCGTGAGAATTATTAGATTAACAAACAGACGCGTGAAGAATAGTTTCGTTTCTTCTTCCGGTGTGCGATTTCGTCGCTCCTCCTCCAGCCTTTCCGACTCCAGAAGCGCTTTCATCTCATTGTACAATGCCTTGTGCTTTATGGAAGCAGATCTTTCATTGTTAATGCAGTAATCCCAGCCGCCGAATATCAAATTGCAGTACCGATAAAACTGGCCTTCACCTTCCACGATTCTCTCCCTGAAACTTTCGGCGGCCGATCGTACGATCGCAACCAGGCTAATAATAAAGACAGTAAGGATAGCGCAGATGTACGACAGTGGTGAGTTGTAATAGAAATTGGTACCTACACTCTCATAGATCTTATGCGTATATGAACCGTAGAATAGAAGAGAAAAGATCTTAGGTACACTGCTATTTTCATCGGTCTTATTTCTATACAACTCGGAGCAACAGGCTACGCTGGTGGCGTTATTGGGCGAGCATGTTTCGTTCTCCGGTACCTCCAGCACTATCACTGGCAGTACTATTAGCAAGTATATAATGGCAAATAAAAGCAGATTCAGATACATGAGCCACTTGATAAATAAAAAATACGCTACTATGCCCATCCCGAAATTTCCACCTATCTTCTTGAGACTGTCATTCCACAGCTCCATCTTGGAATAAGCTTCTTTCATTCTGATGCGGAATTGCTGCCAAGCTTTCCTGCGCTGCCATTTTAGCTGCTCAAAGCCCTGAAGTCTTAACTTTGTAGCACTCTGAAAAATACGAACAATTTAATTAATAATAACTAAAAATATGATAAAATATGAATAATTATTGTTATGAGTTATATTTCAATTTATCATTAAGATGTACATTTTCCAAAGTACCTGTAATTGGTTCTTTAGTTGTATTTTCTGAGACATGCAAACAGGCATGGCCTTGATCTGCATAATCTCCTCCCAAGTGCGCTCCTCATTGGATAAGTTTTCTGATAAATCTGGCAGCATTGACACAGCTGCGTCATGTATATTAGTTGACATACGTCTTGAAGTCGTGGTACCACGAGATCTAGTGCTTGTACGCCTCCTCAACGTGGTCTTCGTGTCATTACGAATTCGTTTTGATGTGGCTGTATCAAACACAGGTGTAAAGGAGGTATTTATTTGGTTCTTATATTTTAGACAGTTTTAAGTATAGTCTTAAGATGTCATCAACCAATCATAAAAGTCATATTAAAATTTTAAGATACTATTTATAGAAATAAGAATGGACTATAAATACTAAAACACAAAGGAACTTGCGACACGTTTTTCAAAGCAAAATAAACCTACCAACACGAGATTTCTTGCTAGGAAGTAAAGTTGCTATGTGCGAGGGATCTCTTTGCAGCGCCTGTTGCAGATCCGCCTCCATGGCTGCTGGATAACTTTCTTGATAGAATTCGGCACCAGCCTCCTCCCATCCATGCCCTCGATCACATCCTCTTTTCTTTCTCTCTCCACCCGACATTGTTAGGATATAATTTTTATCTAATCTTATTCCAAGAGATCAGTCACATGCAAAAATCACGATGCTAATCTAATTCACGCAAACAATTCGTATGGTTTGACGCATAACTTTAATAATTAATTCATCAGCTCTTTGATCCAAAGTCTCTCATTAAGCCTTCATATACTGTTTGAAAACAGCATATTGTTCATCAGATGATAATTATAGCGCGATAACTGTGGAACAAAATTAATTATTGATGGATGAATTGTTCCCCCAAAGATACTATAAGACAAATCATAAAGTAATAGAGACATATATATATATATATATGTATCTGTATGTATATAATACGTACATATACATACACATTCAAAATGATCAGGTCAGACAAGATATTTCTTGCAATCGTGGGTATGGAATTTCCGCCGATCGATACTGACTGATAGAAATCCGAATAACAATTTATCTCTGGCCGTGACCCAGCTGGTATCACACCGCGTTTCTCGACGTCGCGAAATATATGTATGTAAATGTCACACGCCGTCGGGGCCTCGCGAAGCAGCTCCTGATCAACGTGGCCGACGGCACCGCGTCCGACGCTTCGGTTCTATCAAAATTGCGACGGATGAGAATAGGTCGCGAGGGCTCATCGATGCGAGCCCGCACGTTGGCATCCTGCTGTTTGTCTCATACGTCAAACCACCAGCGAAGCAGACGGTTATAATGACGAAGTCGTCGCGAGCACAGAGAGAGAAAAATCACGAGAGTAGACATACCCGCTGTCCGCATTTTAGGTGGTCTTCGTCCATTAGCGCCTCTATGCACAAAATATGAACGTGAAAGGACATCAACTAGCCATGTCCACGAATATTTCTGATGGCTATGTCCACGATGTTTTGGTTCTGTTCTATACTATGTCTAGAATTTTAGAGTTGATATTATATGACGCCTATAAACGCAGCCATGTATACATATATTTTTTAAATCTACTTCATAGATTTACGTAACCCTAGTGATATGTATCATTTATATAAAAGATTTGATATCAACAACTGGCGCCAAGTTAAATTCTGCTAATGTTAATTTATTACTATACAGATGACCATCGTTGTGATATTTATTAAAAAACCCAAAAAGAAAGTCATAGTAACTTTAATAGTATAAAAAACTTACTTTTTTAAAAAAAAAAGATAAAGAAAGCGCTAAGAGTGCGTGCTTTTCGAAAAGAAGCATTTGTATATTTGTATTTGTAAAACTAAATGATGCGTATTGAAAAAAAAACTGCTGTACCAAATTAAAAAATAAAACATAAAAAAGTAAATAGTGTTGGAAAAAAATACAGTTACGAAAAAGGGCGATCAAATAAAAATACTGAATAAAATGTCAATTTTAATTATTTTATTAAAATCGTTTAAAGTGCGCGAGTTTTGAATGTATTTCACTATAAACGTCAGATATAATATTAAAAAATTATAACAATTATCTGGAATAGGAGCAGTTTAAGGAAATTGTGAGCAAATTTCACACACAAAATTCCAGACTTTTTTACATTTTCCCCTGACTTTTCTCGATTTTCCCGGTTTTTCAAGTCTGTGGTAATCCTGATATAGTAATCAATGTCAAAATACATGGCAATACGACGGAATGTTCTCGCAAATCATGAATTTTTGGAATTTAACGATTTTTCGTATTCTTTTATTTGCTTCTCGAGTTCCTTTATAGTCTTTGATCTAGTTCGACATACGTCCCTCGTGCTCTGTTTCTCCTTCTCTAATTTTGTCATTTTTATCTCGTCCTATATGAAATTATATCATTAATTACTATTAAATAAAATATAATTTATAAAATAATTAATAATAATGATACTAAGGTGAAACTACAGCAATCAATGAAACAAAATTGTTGTTGCATTTTTGCATATTTCTTCCCTTTTATTTTCAAATCCCTTTTATTTTCAAAAAAAGTGACTAAAATGGTCAACTGGATTCTATATGCACGCTTTGTGCACATAGAGACACTATACAGGTTTAATTTAAAATACAGACACGTCTCAGATAAAAGAAAGAGAGCGAAAATTTAAAAATATTTTTAAAATCTTATCATAGACGGTTTTAAGATTTTTTTAAAAATTCTCAAAATTATCTTTTATAATTAAGATCTTTTTGATGCATAGCATATTTTGTGATTGTAATATTTATTTCTTGAATATCTTAATTCATATTATATGATTATCAATTTTCAGCACGCTTGAATTTTGCGATTGAAAATGTCGAATTCTCAGAATCGCAATTCTTGAAGCTTTAAAATAATTCTTAAAATTCTAAATAGTATCTTTTTTGCTAGTTCTTCTTACCTTGGGATTTTGCTGTACAATGAAAGAGCAGTAATAAAAGATTTTTTTACTTCATGGATGTACGTTTAATCTATTCGTCATAACAATACATAATTCGAAAATATACTCTTTGAGAAGCATATACGTATATTGTGCTAGAAAACGGTAGCTCTACCATGAATAAAAATATGTATCTGTAAACCGTCGTCCTGATAGGGCAACGACGAAACAATTATTTTCACCGGATGATAACCAGTGCCGATTTAAAAAATATATATTTATATATCTATAATCTATATAGCGCATACATCGCCGTTTGATTTGCTTTCTCTTCTTATAGCATGACTGCAATTATATTCCGTGCGAAAAGCAGACACTTGCGTAGACGATAGCGAACAGTACATCTCCGGCTTATCGATCAGTTCTACAGTACCTTTCAGTGTTATCGACTTATTATGTAATTAGACTAGTTTGCACACTTGAGATTCCTTATTCATAAATTTCGTAACACATATTTCGCTCAGATAAGATGAATAAACAAACAAAATGTTGGTAAAAATCTGACAGACCAGAAACGAGATTTACACAAATATTACTAAATTTGCGACATTTAAAGATTTTTTTCGTCCAATTTTTCCTTTTTTAACATAACGATAGTTTCGTATAATACGATTATTGTTGAAATTGTCGTTTAAAGTTCTAAGCTTTGCTATCCTCTTCGCAGAACTGCCAATAAGTCGGTGACGAATCCCCATCGTGGATTTCTCTTTTCATAACCACAGGATCTCTCGGGACGATTATTGTCCGACCATGACCTCATATTCAGAGGAGGCAATCTCGGAACCGGCGAAAGGTATGTAACACACGTTGTGCGATGGTTGCACCTTGCCGATGGTCACGGTACCCTCGTGGTGTACACGGCCAACGAATAGCGGCTCGCCATCTTCGGTCTCGCCTCCCGGAATCGCATTCGGCGGGATGTTGCCGCCACTTACCGGCACCCAAGTGGGTTTGCAGCCGCAAAGGACCTGCGGAAGTGCAATGGGAACGTTTTTTAAACTGGGAATAATCGCACTTTGTCTATTCAATCGGTTCTTTTATACGTTTTCGATTACTATCTCTATCTGTTACTCACCTGGTAATCGGTTTTTCCATGTTCCGCGCCGCCCCAGGCGACGTAGCAGACGGAATGACCGGGCTTCACCTTGCCGGGGATGAGGGCACCCTCGTGATGAGCCCTACCGACGAACAGAGGCTCCTCGTCCTGTCCACCCTCGACCGCGTCGGGTGGTACCATCCCGCCGGACGCGTCGCACCAGCACACGCTTCCCGCGTCGAGTCCACGGACTTCCGCCGGCGCGGACGGCGTCGTGCTAGGATCTATAATTACGTCCTTATTGTTAGTAACATGAAACATTATGGAATCATAATATTGCGTTGGCACGACGTAAAAAAAGAAAAATATAAACTGTGATGTAATCGAAAAATAATAAAATGCAGGTCCCATTCATCCTCATTCCAATCAAGCCATATCCAATTTACCAATATGCGTGCAAAAGTGATTTTTTATTCCATCATGCGGTTAACAGAGCATGCGTTATCAGAAAATGCTTGAATAAAGTGACACAGAGTTAACAAAAATAACGGAAAAAAATTTAGCGCTTCGAGCAATTTAATCCTGCAGGAAAAAATTTCTAAAAGCCAGGTTTCAACATATATATGCGTGTGCGTGAAGGTGTAATAATACAGATTTAACGTCGCAATCAAGCGTAATAGAACATATCGCTCGGTGGTCCCGAGATCGCGTCGACCCGAGTTTATCAATCACGATCAGAGAGGACGCCGATCTCGGAAACGCCGGAGACGTTCAGAGAGATCATTACATTTCTTTTGAGCGGTAGGAACTGCGGGATAATGTTCGAAACGGAGCTTCCAGTTTCCGGTCGCGCCCCAACCGGTGCGCACCCCCACATAGCTCACGCCAATAGGGTTCGGGTCTCGCCATTCCATGAGGACGGGGCCGCTTGGACCGCCTGATCTGACCGTGATGAGGCCCTCGAGCCACGTGATCGAGAATCTCTTGTGCTCGCGATCGGTGAGAAGACTCGGCGTGTCCACGCGAACCTAACGGACCGTAAAATTTCCCACGTGAAAGCATAACGTACGTTGAGTACGCCGTTCCGTTTAACGCTTAAATTAATCTGACACGAATTAACGAAATCGTTTCGAACCTTATCGGGCTGTTTGCGATCGTATCTAATAGCCGACGCCTTGTTTTCCCACCCGCCGAGCATGATCTCGTACATGGGACTCGACTCTCCCTTCCGGTCGGTCAGCGCGATGTGCCCATTGCTCATAGCTTTCACGTCGATCAGCACCGAGCCGCTTCGTACGGCGTGAAACTTGTATTGTAGCTTGTTAGGGGTGTTCAAAGGTTTGCGACCTTATCGAACGTAAAAAAGATTAAAAAACAATTATCAATTTAACCCTTGCCGTACTAATATGGGTAACTAGTGACCGAGCGATTCCTGTTCGTGCAAGTTTCCCTGATTTATCATAGCCGGACGTGCTGTGCATATCGACGCAATGAATTAATAAACACGCTGCGTTTTTTCTTGGATCCGTTAAGAGCCACACAGGGACGAGTCTCCGTGAAAAAGAAACGTTCTTAATTCAGCGTCGATCACACGTGATGGGGACAGGTAACACGTGCTAGGAAAGCATCAAACGTATACTCGGGCAGAATTAACGAGCAGAAAAGCATAATCTACTGGGACGCCACGTGCGACTACGTCACGCTCTTGCATGGATCTCGTGAATTTTCTTTGCTCAATACATTACGTACGCCCACCGTAACCGCCGCCGCAGCATATGGCTGTGCGAGTGCCGCGATGCCACAATCCGAAAGGATACCAAAAAGAGAATCATCAGAGAAAATCAGAAAGTGATCAATCTTATCTACAGAAATATAGGAAATACAGGCACTGATCAATCTATTAGAGACAGTCTAATTACAAGAGTCTCGTTCTCTTAATTATTTTTCTACCTGTTGTAACTACCGATGTCTACTGTTATAATCTGTAAAATATAAGGTGGAGATTACGAGGGGAAAGCTACTGACGATTACGAAATGGAAATCTGGCAAGAAGAAGTGTATCGTTAGATCGCGGGTGCAGGGAAGAGTTCTGACTTCCTACCTTCGATGAGCCATTCACCGGTTGCACCCCAGCCGGTGCAAACGCCGAAGTAACCTATCCCGAATGGTTCCGGGTCGGCGTAGCTCAGGAAAGGATCTGACTCGCCTTCTTTGCCCACCGTAAGAACTCCGTTGTCCCACCTGTGGGTTTTGTAAAGCGAATTAAAGAATAATAAGTATATAAAATATCCAACTAATTATGTAGGACCCTTTGGATTCGTACGACATAGACTTGTAGCGAGTTAAAGCACAATAACAACGTACTATTAAGCTCAACGACTTTTTAATTATAATAAATCTGGCGATTTTTTTTTTATTATTATAAAGCGCCTACCTGATCCAGAAGCCGCGATATTCATCCGCGCTCAGAACGCCGGGCGTTTCCGTTTCCGCTACTTCCGGCTTGGTTCTATTCTTGCGCACGACGGACTTGCTGTTGTTCCAACCTCCGATGAAGACCTGAAGAGAGAAACACAGTCTTCAAATTAAACGCTCCGTTGCATTACGGATTTAATTACTACGACGCGCGACGGCGCTTTTGTGCGCCGTCATGGAGCCGAGGTTCGTCGTACAAGCCAGACTCCGATAGGATCTACGGCTCGAAAGGATATCCGCCGCTACTCAGGCATCCTCCTGGGTAATAAAACGCGGGAAGGTGCAAAACGAAATCTTACCTCGTACATCGGATCCCCTTCCTGAGGTCCCGTGGTAAGGGCGACGTGGGCATCGTTCGGCGCTTTTATCCGAAATTGAATTTGCCCGGCTGTTACGGGGTAGAAATGATACTCCAATTTGTCCTCGGTGTTAAGCGCTAGAAAAGAAAATCGCATTAAGCTTCAAGAAGCTGCAGTATAAATCAGATCGAGTGCTGCTCGTGACAAATCAGCCGAGGTCGCAGTCGACTGGCGAGCTGATTACTTAATATTATTATGGCTGTTCTACAATGTGCTTTTTGTTTCCTGTTTCTTGCTGTTTGTCTCTGTTTGTCTCTTGCCTTTTTCATCAAGAAGCAAGAACCAGGAAACAAAAAGCACATTCTAGAACAGCCATTATGGGTGTTTTCCGCATCGCGGAGACGCGTCGATACCGAATATCGAGACATCTCGACGCCAGACCGACCTGTAGCAGTTCGGCAAGCGGTCAAGAAAGTAGGACAGCGCAGGATTCGATCAATATCGCACGTTGGTGGTGATAATCATTGCACGTGGCTTATTGTTACATTTCACAATTCGATCGTAAGTTTTAATGATAGGCTCCGGAAAGGTCATTCAGCGTAATCGGGCCACATAACGGGCACACTGAAAGAAAAGATTGGTTGCTGCAGCAAATTAGATGGTTAAATATGGCATAGCATTTTTTAGTTGGCTGTAGCAACCAATTTTTGGTTGCGTTAGCCAATCGAAATCTTATACTGACATTGAGGATAGGCTAATACAACCAACAATTGGCTGCAGCATCAAAAAATTGGCTGTTGCAACCAATTAAAAATGATATGCCATATTTTACCATCTAATTTGCTGCAGCAGCCAATCTCTTCTTTCAGTGTATGATTTAAATTATTATCTATTTTTCCAAAAAGAATTATAATTAATTTTTTTGTATATTTAAAAAGTATTGCATAAAGTTAATCGGTCGTAAAAATAGACATATCGATAATTTCGATACGCGCACGCAAGGTTTTAAAATCACCTTCCGCATTTCCGAGTCGATCGAATTACGAGGTCATAAATACTCGTCCATGATGTGTTAAATAAGCGAAACGTAATTTTCTGCCGAGATCCATTCGCCGTAAAACAACATCTATAATGAGATTTTAAGGCGTAAAATTTAAGTTTAAATTTAAACCTTAAACGGCGTAAAATCTGATCAATCATAGTCGATTATTTTCTTTATTCGATTATGATTGGTCAATTTCTTATGACGTGGGCTTAAACTTCAATTTTACACATTAAAACCTGATTATAGATGCCATTTAAGAACTGAACAAATCGCTATTCTTAGTCCAGTGACATCATTTTTTTATAATTCTATACTAAAAATCCCGATAGTGTTTTAGAAGGCAATCGATGTTATTAGAGTCCGATCGAAACTTTTACCGAAACTGAAAACGAACACTTATTACGTGTTAGTTTCAACTGAAACCATATAGCTCTTCTTCATAAATAATAATTTTAATATGTGTAATTATTGTTTCAATAGGTCTGTTTTTGTGGCTAAACCAATGTACACTTTTGGAACTTAAAGTGAGATAGATATACGTTTGAAATTTGTTTAAAGCGAGAAAGAGAGTTCTAGAATAGTCTAGTGCAGGAACAGAAAACAGACCAAATAATTAAATTATGATGTTTATGAAGAAGAAGTACTTATATCCTTTGGCCAAAATTGATACACAACCGAAATTTCGATTTTCGATTTCGGCCGAAATTTATTATTGTTTCAATAAATCATGATATTTATGAAGAAAAAATGTATGATATAGGCATTATCTATACATATGGCCTTTATAGGATTCCTATTTTTTAATTTTGATTTCAGTTTCGGTTGAAATTGACATATAGCCGATAGTGTTTCGGTTCACTTTCGGCAAAAGCTTCGGTCGGACTCTGATGACTACCTACTCTTCCGCTTCTGAATTCTTCGTTTCTCGATTTTGATCCGACGAGGAATTAGAATCGGGCAGCCTTTGAATGCTATTAGTACTATCATCATTATAGTTTCTTCGCAGTGTTGATACGTGCGTGAGCATCGCGGTACAACTGCCCATTAATTCCGAGGTCGCACGAAATACAAGATAATACGACGTAGAGCTTTTTTTTCTATATATTTTCCGTTTATTTTTCCTATTTCGTTCGCTTTGAAAATCGAATAGTGCGCGAGAGCGACGCGGCACCAACTACAACGTAACGATTATAAATAGTTATAGGCGAGTATGTGTCGCGGTCAGTTCACAACGCTGACATCATACGCATCGTAAATGAGGAAGGGGATCGCACGAGGTGGCTTGGCATGGACCTCGCCACGAGAAATTCAGATCCCTCTTAGGGCACTCGTTGCGGCGAATATATATATATATACGTCGCCGATACTAAAATCGAGGCCGCCACCGAGCGTATACCAGGTCTAATGTCACCGTGCTGATGTCATTCTTATTTCGATGTCAATTACTTCACATTACGCGACGTCCGCGATCCAGAACAATCGCGACGGTCTTCTAATATGTCCATCCAAGACATCTGAGAAAGAAAGGAAGAAAGGAGATCGAGCGCTCGCAACGTCCGACAGAACGCTGATCAAATCTCCCCTAATTATCTGCCTCTCTTTTGATAATTAGCTAATTATTTCGAATTGCGTAGTGTGTTGTTTTGATAATTACGTGATTAAATTTTAAAGAATTCTTGAATGCAAACAAGAACAGAGACAGAGAAGGAGAGAGAGTTTAAGCCTTCCGTGTTGAACTTGAGAATCCTCCTATCGTTGAAAGGGATCTCATCGAGTCCTGTGATCGCGATGGCTTAAATCGCGTTAATTTAATGCGTGGCAAATTGATTAGCTTCTGTAATGTGGGTCGTGCTTCTTCCCCAATTAACATAACAACGCGAGAATTAGAGCCATTGAGTCAATTCGCATTGCGCAACTACGAATGCCGCTGGTTACACTCATCGCGCGTGCGAGCGAGTTTCCATTCGGCAAAGTCCTCTTCAGATTTATCTCCATTGAAATCTATTAGCATACCGGTTTCATCTTCTTTTTCTTTATAAAAGAAGAAAAAGAAGCCAGTGTGCCAGTAAAGAAAGGAAAAATTGTAAACCAATCGCTCCGAGTTTCAAAGAATTGAAATTAGATACGCAATTTATTGCTGTATAGGTTCATTTTTACGAGCTTTGTGGTTTTTCTATAAGAAAAATTCTTTTCACAAGCCACTATCTAAACTTTAAGTCTCAAGCCGTAAGAAATTGACCAATCACAGTCAAATATGAGAAGAATAAGCGACTATTGATTGGTCGATTTCTTACAGTTTAAAACTTGAGCTTACTATTGTAGAAACCCCATTAATTTCAATTCATGCACTGAAAGAAAAGATTGGTTGCTGCAACAAATTAGATGGTTAAATATGGCCATAGTATTTTTAATTGGCTGTAGCAACCAATTTTTGGTTGCGTTAGCCAATCGAAATCTTATACTGACATTGCGGATAGGCTAATACAACCAACAATTGACTGCAGCATCCAAAAATTGGTTGTTGCAACCAATTAAAAATGTTATGCCATATTTTACCATCTAATTTGCTGCAGCAGTCAATTTTTTCTTTCAGGGTGGAGCGACCGGTTTACAATTTTTCTTTTTCTTCCAACCAAGACAAAGCGACGAACGAGACAGAATCTGGCTGGCGCGCGAAAAAAGATGATCTTCGTAATGACCTGGCGGTTTCGTGCTAAATAGTCGCGCGCTGGTTAATCCTGTACAGTAAATCGCCGTCGATAGCTCGACGCAACGGTATGTAGAACTATTCGTAGAGCCATTCGCCGTCGTGCTGCCATTGACCTCGCATGGCAACTGTCGGTGTCGCTTCGCCGGCAAGGTGGACCACGGCCTGCAACGCGCAACGCGTTCTGCTGCAACCGCTGAAACGTGCATGGCTATAACAGGTGCCACGCCACTCTCGGTACCAATCTGCCACCTGTTCTCATGCGGAGTACGTCCTTACCGAATTTTCCCCGGTGATGTTACACCGGTCTGAACGACCGAGCTTCCTTTGTGGGACTTAAATGACGCAAGGCATGTTTTAACAATATTTGTACAACCTGAACGATCATCTATGTAACTCGTGATTGAACGTTTTTTTTAATTGTTGGCACGGTATCTTAAAGTTCCTTTGTTTTTCGAACGATACTTGTCCGCGAACTTGTCTTTCTGCCGCGCCGGTTATGTAAGTAAAGAAACGACGCGTATTTTCGCGTAAATTTCGTTTCGAGGGATCGAAAAAAAAACGATCGATGAGTTCAAAGCTTCGACGGGCGAGGCTTCATCCGTGCGACTTCGCGAAGGTAAAAGTTGACGTGACGTGAAAGGGCCCGGTCGGCGGGAAGGTTACGTGTAATGTAATTAGAGCCACGCGATAGACTGCTTCAATTTCACGGTAAGATGAATGGGAAAAGTGTCTATTCCTAGATTTTCAAAACGCTCCCAGGGATTCCGTTTTAATTATATCCGAGAAAGATGTACGAGAAGCGCAAAAGATGAAAAGATAACGAAAGGAATGAGACGTTCTAGCATCATAAACACGACGCGGTGGCGTCGATCCCAGAGTATACTTTAAAGAATATATTTAATAGAAGAATCGAATATTTTTTTGGAGAAACAGACCGTGAAGATAATTCACGCAGTGGAAGAGCGGCAGGAAATGAATCTGGGCGACGGGATGATGCGGAGGCCTCGGAGGCGGCAAGCATTACGAAACGCAATCTGGAAGTCGGATTACACAAGGACGCGGAGGGATAGCATTCTTATGACGTGATCACAAGCTGTGAGGCCGTTACACGCCTCGGACATTATCCAAGATGTACCTCTCGCACATTCGCTGCCTTCGCGATCATACCTACCCGCCGCAGTAACTGTGCAAGTTTCTCGCATTTATTCTCGCCTGTGATAAACTTTGGCGTGAAAAAGCGAGAAGTTTTCCTTGCGACGACGTAAACACATTAAAAACTATACGGCGCATGTACATACACATATCGTCGTTTATCGTGCAATTTAGCATACGACTGCAAATACCTTGGCGTCGACTTCCATTCGTATCGTTTCTAAACGTTTCACGGAACGTTCTGAAAATCCTGAATGGAAAGGAATCCTGCCTCTCTTTGGAACTTTTTTTCGGAGGGTGAATTAATGGCCTAGTTTCCACCGAAGGTTCGAACCGCATCAGAATGCTAGAACCAACCAATTACAGTCGAGCATTTCCCTATCATTCGACTGTAACAGGGGAATACTCGACTGTAGTTGGTTGGTTCTTGCATTCTGATCCGGTTCGAACCCTCGGTGGAAACTAGGCCAATTTTGCTGGGGATGTGTGTAGCTGCAGAACGCTTTATTCGCGTTGGGTCTTATTATTGTCCATAGAATTTCAAAGAATGGCTCGAACGATCGTAGAGTATCGGGATGCCGGCCGGCTTGTCAAACCGGCAGCCGCGCCCCAGCTCTATATTTAGAGAGAATCTCTCGTAAAGAAAAGCGTAGTAGCTTCTTAGAGAAGATACTGTTTCATCCGCCTGGAAACTCTTTCTATTTCCGATCGTTAGGCCGTAAGCTCGATGAACGAAATTGCATACTGATCAACAAGGGTACGAAGATCGCGAAATGGAATCTTAGATATTGACACGGCACACGGAAATCCTTTATTCGTTTTGGAGCAATGTCAATTTAGCGCTATACAACGTTATGCAATGTTACGCTTCCGTATGAATCAAAGCCTTCGCGGTCAAATAGCTGCTTTGAAATAGAGGCGCAGTAATGAATAATGGAATAGATTTCAAAACCAGTTATGGCGACAGGAGTCGTACAAATTTGTGTCAAAGGGAACAAGAAAGATAGTAAATTATTCTTATTTTACACGCTTATAGAGGTTGAATTATTTAAATATATAAGAATTATATAATAATTATTGTCTAATATATAACAGAACATAATAGAAGATTACATAATATTGTTATATTAATTATAATAAATAATAACACTATACAATATATATAACAAATGTATAAGAAATGTGAGTTTGCGCAAAAAATTTCGAAAGTAAATCAACTTACAGACTGCCATGTCGCTCTATCGACTGTATATGTAAAATCCTCCAGCGAGAGAAAAGACTAAACGAGCACAATGTGCACACCACGAAGACGGAATTCGTACTGCGACGCGGCGCGCGAAATGTTGACGTCTTTACCGATGTGCCGGCACTACCGGCAAGCTTGGCGCATGCGTGATGTCCAGGTGTGACGCGTATACACGTCGCTATATACAAGTGATAATTAATGAGCGAGATGAGTCACGCGGATCAACGCGATGTAGATCCGCGGATGGAGTTCCGCTCGATGTCCTTTGCGATGTTTGCGAGATCCTCCCCTCCAAAGAGATCCGATCCGATTAGCATTGACGTAAAAAATTGCCAGACCTAAATACGATTGCGTGACGACTAAATCATGGCCCCCGATATTAATGATCTCGTGTTTTATTATCATCTTCCACATGATAAGCTTATATTTGGATCACGTATGTTATGCCGTGCACTGTGTTTGCTCGGTAAAAGTTCATCACGTGATTCACAATATCGCGATTTAACTTTCACAGTACATCATTATTATTATTGAGCGCTTATGCATGTATTATACATTCATTATGCGGAACAGATAACAAGTGGCACACAGTCATTGTCATTATTATAGTCGATGATTTCATTTGGACTGCATCTGGCGAATAGATGAACTTTCCATTTGTTTAACAGTCTCGCAAATATGACGTGATGGTTTGACGATACATAATACTCTAATAGCACACTTTATTCGAGGGACGTTCGTGGTGAACGTTATTAGGACATAGGGATATTCTCTGAATGTTCTTTGGAATGTCCCTTGGAGGTCTGTGCTATTAGGGTAATAATTGTGAAATAATAAACTTTCATTGGGACGCGAGTTTCATCGGTTCTGTTTGGCCATTAAATCTTCGTCAATAATTCCAACTGAATTTACACGAATTATTCAAATCGATTTGTAAAACATATGCGCTTTTTTATGCACTATATTTAATTTTGATAAGGAAGCACAGTTTGAAAGGAAAACTGATCATGCAGATAATTGTTATCGTTGGATAGTAAGTAATCGGTTAATGATCGTCGGTTACCAGCTATTGTTATTGAAAAATTCTCATGATCCAATCTCCGTGTTGACCCTCTGTAGATACATAAGAAACTTACAGTTTGAAAAGTATACTACTATATTGTAGCAAGAATTTCTTTTCATTTTATGTAGATGCCGGTATCGATTTTTTACCCTAACTACAGACGATCATTTTCTGATCCTTTATTACCAATCGGTCATTTGTATCTTGAATTAATTTTCACATATACAAAAATTATTAAGTGATTCTTACATACATATATATATATATATATATATAATATGCATAAGTTATAAAATTTATTTGTTTCGTTCGTCTTACAAATATCTAAGGATCGTGGTGCGTTTTCTTTTGCTACGTTATGTTTTGACGTTATTTTCGGCAGACTTCTCTGAACCAGATAAAAAAGAAAGGATAGAAACTGTTATTCAGTAACTATTCTAGTATTAAAAAAAAATTCATAGGACACGAATGACCCAATCGTGTGTAACAATTAATCTAATAAAGTATTTTCACGCCGGATTATTCTTGAAAGATATTGCATACAAAAAAATATTATAGTATACTTTACGTATATTATAGATTTGTCAGTGTTTTTGCTATGACATTTTTCGAAAATGAAAATCTTTTTTCGCAATTAAAAAATATTTACTATAAAACTCATAAATATTTAAAAATACTTTCAACACCGCGCTTATCGTTCCAGTAACACAATCTTCATTAGTATTACATAATGCGTTAATTGCGTTTTTTTATTAAAAATAATTTATTCGTAGTGTATTGAAAATTGCGTACGATATATACAAGAACTGGTATGCAAGCTCAAGATATTACGAAATGTATAATCTCGTACTGCAGCAAAATGGCATAGAGGCATCTCGTTATTGCGGGGCGGCACCTCGTCTCTATTAACTAAGCTGCTAACGCATTTCTTAACAGCTGACAATTGACGTCAATTACCAGCTTTGTACCAGCAATTTATGCATTGACATTAAAGCCACGTCTTGAAGGTAATAAAAGAAATAGAAAATTATTGATGATATCTCGAATAGTAGTATACAATATTAACAGTTGCTTAACATTTCTTAATCCTCTGTGATAAATTTGGATGTCATATTTTATAATTAATTATAAGCCGAAATAACCTCATCTATGATTCTTTTACCAATATTAATCTCAATCAATAAATATTTATCGTTATATGAAAATGAATTATGTACATTCATTTATCAACGCTTCTCTCTTAGACAAAATATTATTCAGAACCTGATACGAGTGGTGAAAGAACTAAGCTTGTTCAACTACAAGTGTGGTAGATTCAACAATACACGTTCATCGTCAGATGCACTGACCGGTTCCGAGGGGGCCTCGTAAAAGCACCAAGACTATGCAACATAACTATGCGACGAGATCTCGACGCTAAAGCGTGTATGGAGAGATCGAGATTTAAAATATTCAATCAGAATCGGTTTATCTAAAAAAAAATTAATGGCTAAAAAATATCTGACTAGAGAATCTCGAGTTTTTAAGCTCTCAAACGAGTTGTATTAAGAAATAATCCGCAATCCTGTTTTTCAATCACTTGTTACATGGCGATTGTACCACTTTATCGCTTTGTTAATGCAGCGTGCGAGACGTAATCCCATATAGCTCTAGGGCGTTAAGGAGTTTCAAGGAATCGCGGTGAAGTCTCAGTTGTTTCCACGTGCGTCGCATCTCTGTATACGGGTTTCCTCCTCACGTCCGGCGTCCCTTGAAACTGGTCCCGACCGTGAGCACCAAAGTCAGAGCGGTCGCTGGCCTTGCAGCCTTTCGTACAGACGTATCTCGGAATAGAGCCTCGCTCGATTTCCAGAGCGAGAGCTCATTTTCAAGTGGGACCGAAAGGGACACTTGCAATGAGAGTGACAGAAAGCCGGATATTATAGTACGAAAGCAAATAAAACGGTACTTTATTTTTCTTTCTCTCTCTCTCTCTCTCTCTCTCTCTCTTTCTCTCTTTCTTTCTATCACAGTTGAGACTACGAAATATAAGCACATATCATATCATATCTCACATCACCAACAATAGTTAGAATATACATATACATACATTTATAATATATTTATAGCCAACAAATAAAAGTCAACCGACAAAATATTGTCGCGATAAAAGATGTTATCTTACAGTTTATAGAAAGAATGAATGAGCAATTCCTGAGAGCATGCATGATAAAATGTCCGAAGTGACCAACATAATAAGATAATTAGATATTCAATATATCGCAAGGTAGTACGATACGTAAAATTCGCCAATATATGGCACTAAATAATATTTACGACTGTCTATTTCAAGCGACTGTTGACGCTCGGGACTTACGACGTACAATTCATTTTATTAATTCATTTTAATCTATAAAAAATTACTTTCCTCTTACGTTCATATTATATCAGACATTTTTTATAAAAAAAATTGCCAGAAGAAACTCACGTTGGAAAGCATTTTCAAGAAAAAACTCAGATTATAAAAAAAATCTTTAAAAATCATACCTTGTCATTTTTTCAATCAAATAAATAAATAAATTTCGTACTTTTGGCATACGATTCTTTTTTTTACAATCTTAAGAATTTTCTTTATCTCAATTATTTCATAGGATTAATTGGTTTGATTTTCGAGGAGTTCATTTTAGCTTTGGACATGTCGCTGTTATTTGTCGCTACGTACATACCGTCGAAGTTTCATCCGCGATACAACGGTACCTCGCACTTGTTGCTCGACGCGCGACAAACTTTGATTATATCGCGCGAATATTTTGACAGAGAGCAAACTCCACTAAGCACGTAAGGCTTGAATGAAGTCGTACGATGCTTCCCGAGGGTCTTGCCCTTGTCTCGCGCGTCAACAGTAGCATACACGATTTATAAATACGATGCTATAAACAGCTATCTCTTTTATACGTCGCGCAGTATGTAACTGCATCCAAGATAGATAGTTGTACCTAAAGCCACTTAAAGATGATACGATGTGCCTCGCAGTCGGATCGACCGAAACAGAATCCTCATCGCGCGATACACGTAGTACAGACACAAAAAATTCATGATTCGTTATTAATATCTATCGATCTAACATGTACAATGCGATACATAATGAGACTTACCGCGCAGCGAAAATAATCGCGCCGTGTCGCAATTATCGTTGTATTTCACTTTATTATCGTTCACACGTTTATACGGTACAGGCACGAATGTTCTCGGAATTCCATGTACACGTGTTAGTAGCAGTTTCTAATTAATTAACGAGAAAGCGATATTCCCCGTACGCGCATAAAAGCGGATATTCTAACGTTGTTAGTCTACTTTTCACTCGCAATTGCTCTTGGATTAAAATGAAACACACGCGCTTTGTGCATATATATACTTATATATATTATAGCCTGGTTAGCCATTATTGAGGTGTCCTTATAATAAATGAGCTTCTTCTGTTGAAAACACTTCATAAGATTAAAAATCTATCTGACGCCCTCCACTAATGATTCAAGACAATCACGTTTGAGGAAAGGATAAGTTGATGATAACTATCGGATAAAAGATAATTAAGATTAACAGCCCATTATCTCAGGGATGCATACTACATCCATAAATATTCTAAATGACATGAATGTGAGTCCATCATCGATTGTACTTCTGAAAATTGTGTTGCTAAATTGATTGTGTTGCTAAAAGTCAATAATTATCTGTCATTGCCTTCTACAGAGTAATAAATGTTTTTTTTTTCTTTTCAATGTAAGTTCTTCTAATGATTCGTGTAGCATACTGTCGAGAAACATTCGACTGGTCAGAGGTGTAGGTACTGAAAAAAAATACGAAATTTTAATAAGTATTTTTGTTTGAATGGCTCTAAGTAAATATTTACCAAATATAAACATATTTGATACAAAAACTGTTAATTTTATTATAAACCAAGTTCCCTTCTTGGCTGTACGCTGAAGTGTAATAAATTCTACTCTACTGTTAATATTATTAACTATCATTTTTTATCAAGTAAATATTTATTTGCTATAAGTAAATGTTTATTTAGTGCTATTAAAAAAATATGTATTAAGATTTAGTAATTTTTTTTTCAGTAGATATATCT